ATAAAACAAAATATTTTTTAATTTGAAGCAAAAAAATGTATTTCATTATTATTGCACTTTTTTCTAAACTTCTTTTTTTTATAATTTTCTATAATTTTTCATTTACTTCTTGCATAAAAAAACACTAACATTTTATTTTATTTTATTTTTTTTTCTAAAAGTCGCACACTAATTTMGACTTAGTTAAAAGAAAAAGTGTCTACAATTCGATTGGTTACCACTTGATATATGTATTTAGGTACGCATATGCAAATGTTTAAACGGAACAGGAGGCTTGGATATGTAATATTTACTTAGACTCGAATAGGAGTAGGAGCATTTAGAATATTGGAGAAGAACATTTAAGTGAAAAGTTTTTGGAACTAATTTTTGCCGATTATATCAAAAGTCTAAAAATAATAAATTCTGACAAAGAAGTATCTATTAAGTTATGTAGAATATATGGAACATATACATATATTAATCAATTGGCTGCTGATATGTCAGTTGTTTTTTAGGAAGTACAATATTAAAAAATAATATTATTATTACTAGTTAAAAAACAATTAAAATATTTAAAATAAATATAAAAAATATAAATAAAATTTAAATAGTTCGGGAAAACTAATAATTTTATTTTCGCAAACTTTTCATACTAACTTTTTCTACTACCTTTTCTGATACATTTTCTACTATCTTTTTTTAACAGCAAATTTAGTTAAAAATAATTTAGAATAAATGTAAAATTGTTTGACTTGAAAAAAAAAACTAACGCGACATCCTTTATTTTCATTTTGTGACACCCTGTTTCGTTTTTCGTATTCAAAAAAAAAAATTCTTTTAAAATATATACTATGTATAATATTTTCTGTTTCTAATTACTTGGAATTTTCATAATTATATACCGTTGCACCAATCAAACATATGTAGGCTTCTTTAAACTGCGTTTATTGAAGCGTTGAGTTGAGCGTTGAAATTTTTAGTACTCTTCCTAAATTTACTTTTTTCATAAAGTAGCTGCAATTAGCAACATTTCTAACTCTTCTCTTCAATCATAATTTGTGTGGCATAAAAGCGTCATTTTGGTTTCGTTTAGGTTATAAATATGTATGCAGGTATGTACTTTTTGTTGGTATATGCTTTAGATAAGTAGTAGGTAATATGTTGGGTAAATCCATAGTATGTATGTAGTAGTATAAGTTATGCTTGTAGTGGGTAAATATGTATATGTAAATATGTATGCAGTTGGTTAGAAATATTTAGGCTATTAGGATTTGCTATTTAATGTATATATGTATGTATGCATATATGTATATTAGAAATAACTAGTAGGCTTCCCGCATTGTGCGGGGGTTTCGGCTCAATTCTTTTCATACATTATTATTTATTTATTTATTTTTTAGCTAAGTAGTATATAAATTAATTACTCAATTAGTTAAAATGCATTTTGGTTTGGTACAATTCACGCTTCGCCGCTTTTTTCCTAAGCTACTACCTCCTTTACTCCGTTTTCTGACACGCTTTCTACCACTTTTTTGCTAACTTCGCCACAACCTTTTCTCCTTCCGTTTCTACAAACTTTTCTCCTTCTTTTCCAACTCACTTCTCTATTACCTTTTTTGTTACCCTTTCTACTATATTTTTACTATCTTTTTACGCCTTTTTTTGTTTTTTTTTTTTTTGTTTGCTTCTCACTCTCAAACAGTTTCATATGTTCACTTGACTTTCGCATATAATTTTTCATAATAACTTTTATTTACTAGTTTTTCAATTATTTGTTAGTGTTTTGTTTTCATTGATTTCTTCACGACTTTTTATACAAATACTACGTCTATAAAAAGTTCTTCTTGCCACCGCCATCCAGTGGATTGCGCATGTTTGCCGTATCCTTGATATCCTTGCTGGTGATTGGTGGACCTTTTGATTCGAAAGTCGGTTTGCTCATCGCCAATGCCGGATTCAAGTCCAACATAGTGCGCGGACTCATCGCCACAATGCTGGCGCCGATAGGACCTGTTTAGATGTACGCCAACAAAGTGAGAGTTGGAGAGAGAAAGAAAAGATGTTAATTTGTATTAATTAAATATATAATTCTCTTAGCAAAATTTTCTAGTAAAAATCAAAAGCTAGTTTCAAGTAACTGTAACCGGTGCAATCGATGCAAGTAAATTCTAATGAGCTAAGCTGCAAGTTGGTAGAGACCAAGCGGTGCCAGATTGTAGAAAAATTCGGTAATTCTAAATAACTCCGCTAAATTCAATTCAATTGTTTCTGCTACTTTTTATAACTAAATAGCTGAGTGAAAATACAACTGAAGGAAATAGGTGTCAAAGCATGCAAAAATGTATTTAATTTACTAACAAATATTTTTAAAATATCGGAAAGCATGCTTAAAGCGTTTACACAAGCAAGGCAGGCATAATTTTAATATTTTATATACAAGAGAGCTTAAAAATATTTTTTATTGAGTGAATATGTTTTTCAGTAACAAAAAAGCCCTTTTTTTTTACATAATAATATCAAACCAAAAATTCCATAAAAAACGCTTTTTGAAATGAAAATCTAATTTTAGAGCCCAAAGAAATTATTCCCTCCATCAATTTACTTGAAAATAATGAGGCAACCCTTCTGAAAAATATTTTAAATTGGAAGCCCTCCTAAAACTGTTTGATACCCATATTGCTTTTTAAAAATTGTAAATAGGTGGCAATCCTTCCCAAACTAATTTTAAACTATAGCCTTCTTAAAACGGTTTAGTTTAATACCCATATTGCATCTAAAAAATTTTAAATAGGTAGCAACCCTCAATCTTTTTTCAAAAATTTTAAAAAACTTTCAAATCGGTTCAACTTCAAGTTTTCTAAGCTCATCTACATCTCAGAAAAAATTTAGAAGTATAGCAACACTGAACTAGAATATCGTTTGTTCTGTATTTATGGAACTACAGTTATTTCACAAGCTTAATTGCCAGCTCTTTAATACCTAATATGGACATTATGAAATTTGGAAAGCTCTTTCTTAGTACTTACTGAAGTAAAATATACCTCTATTTATTATTAGACCAAGAGAGGTTACTGAGAGGACTTTTCGAATGAGCTCCATTTCAAAAATATCTGATGGATAGGTGAGGTTGGATTAAGTAGTGGAAGCTTGGTGATTTCTCGTGAAGCTTCCAATAATCCCATTTGGACTGCTAGAAACGCTTGTCCCAGAACTCCAAGGTACGGATCAAAAACAAAGCGCCTAGAACCTGCGACAATTTTAATGATTTATTGAGCCGGCTAAAATATACCCCAGCATGCCAATGAATGCCAATGGCAGGGTTCAAGTTAAGACATCTTTCTTTGCAGCGGGGTAAGCGTTGCTAAGAGTTAGCTGTTCAATGGACCTTTTACGTCCACTCTAGGCCAGAGGGCTTTCGTGACCCACAAGTGCTGGTTACTATAAAATGCTTGCTGAGCTCCCTCGAAGCCCATAGATCTAGCGACCGAGTGCACTACAACAGGAGAACCCTTGCTCGTTCCCATCATTATGGAATTTGGGTAAGGGTTCTTTTTCTCGCAAACTCCTCGGCTTTACAAATTCCAGCGATTCCGCTGAGATCACGCAACCAGACTAGTTTAAGTTTACGTTTCACTGTCAGCGAGCTTAAGGCCTGTGTAGCAGCTCTGCTATCGGAGTGGATGCATATCTTTCTACAAGGGAAGTACATCTGCTGCTACTTTGATAACTGCCACTACTGCTTGAAAGACACTACAGTGGTCTGGCAATCTGAAACAAGATTGATTGAGAGCTTCCTATAGCAGACTCCCTTTCCGAAACTCTCCTTCAATATTGATCCATTTGTCAAAAAGATCATTGCGTCTCTTTTCCAGCGACCGAGGCGTACCATCTACCATAACTCTCGGAGATATGTGCGTAGAGAAGAAGCTTTTAGTAATTAATGTTCCAATTTATCTAAAAATCGATTTAGGTCCAAAAATCCATAGAAATTTGTAAAACCTAACAATTTCAGATTAAAAGAAAGGCCTGCAATGCTCCAGTGATCCCCAATGCAAACATTTTCTTCTTTTACTAAAGAAATCATCGATTTGCATTATCTTCTATCCCGAAAAATAGGTACGAAAATGAAATAAATGGAGATTAGAATATTTGGTTCTCAAAGATTTTAGTATATTCTGAAATCAAAAGCAAAAGTCACGAAAAAATTTCCTAACAAAAAAAGAATTGAAAGCAATTTTCACTCAATCAAAAATATTATTTACCCCAATTTACAGATTTATAATATATTTAACATGCATTATATAAAACCATTTAATAATAAAGTCTCCAAATTTCAATTTAAAATCAGCTTAAAGCGTATATATAGCACTGTTTAAATTATTAGAGACGCCAATTAGTACTTTTTCTTTTTAAAATAGGTTAATACATAGTTTAGATTATAAAAACGGGGAGGAGAGAGGGTTCAAGTGAAACACGAATGTCATCAGGCTATTCACACCTATACTAAAAAGGTTTCTATTCTAAAGGGTGGTGCTATTTGGGAGCAGCTTAAAAATCGGGTTCAATACTCGTGTATATTTACATATACAAATAATTGCACTATTTGTTAAATGTCTGGAGGAAAGAATTTATAAAATTTGTTACAAGTAAATAAATGAGGAAAAATGTACATTTAGGAAGATGAACACACCCGCCCAGAATCCGCAGGTATGCATTTTAGTGATACCTTTCTTTTCGTTTTGGTTTAATTTTCGTTTTTTGATTTTTTGTTTCGCATTTTATTTCATTTCATTTCGTTTCAATTTGTTGGTGATATTTTCGCATTTTGTTGGTGTTTTGTTTCACAATTGGTAAATTTACAAATTAACGGTATATATGGAAATTAAAATCATGATAGTGTTTTGTGGTGCAATTCAATTTTTGCACACGATTTGTTTATTTGATTTGTATTTGAGAATTGAGGTTACGTTATCGGGTATTACAACAACATGTACAAATAGTTAGTCGAAACTGAAGGCCATATCTGAAAGATATAAAAGTTGGAAAAGTATGAAAAGTAGTCGGTTACCTGGTAAAAAATCAAACGAAAAAAAGTTTTGTTGAAACGAAAACTAGAATAAAAATCCAATTGGGAATTTCTGGTTTGAGGAAGTTATTTGATAAGGACTACTTTAGGGTGGTTCACATTTTCATGGAATTTTTTTTTTCAAAAATAAAATTTTCAGCTTAAGGATTTTGTGACGCACAAAATTGATTAGGGCTTTTTAGAACATTTATAATTTTTTCTAAAAAATTAAATTTCATAAAATAATTAGGGTTGTCCAAAATTTTTTTTAAAAATTATAACTTTTTCAAAAAAAATAAATTTTATAAAATAATTAGGAAGTTATTTGATAACGAATATTTTACGGTGGTCTACAAGTTCATGGAAAAAAAATTTCAAGTTGTAGAATTGTAAAAAATTTGTTAGGTTAGTCCAAAATTTTGTAGAAAAAATTTTGAACTAAATACTAAACTAAATTTTTTGAACTAAATAAATTATAAAGTAGGCAGTTGAGTCTCTTTAGGACTGTTCTCCACTTTCGACAACCTCTCTTATTTATTTAGAGTCAGAAATACATCTCAAGGCTGAAATCGGTTGTCGGTCAAAGGCAAGTTTTTGAGATAATTACGTACAAATTTTAATCCAATTTTTATGCACGAAGTAGCTCGGATGATGTTCGTGAAAATACACTAAACTAAACCTGTCAAATACAAGTGTTTTCTTTGACAGCTCACACGATAGCTATTTCTTCATAAAAATTCATTGCTCAAAAGCTCCATATTTTCAAAATCTAAAATAGTTTATGTCTGGCATTCAACAAATTTGGCAATTTCGAAGAAAGTTTGTCAAAATACAAAAAAATAATTTAACCACTTTAGTGTTCGGATTATTTATCCGGCCAAAGACTGTCAACTTGGCAGAACTCCACCGCTACAACAACAACAACACAGTATGTTAAATTTGAAGGTTTAAAATACAAATTTCATTTTAAAAAAATGTACCACCCTAATGGTAAATAATATGATTTCCTTAAAAAACCAATTCGGATCACCCTTATGTGTATGTAAGTTAAAGAGTAACAATCCTGTTAAGATATTTTTCGATAATAGAACCACCTCACCGTTGTATCAAGAGCTAGATCGAAAAGAAGTAGAAATATATAAAAAATATTTTATGTGTATAATAGTAGTATAGAAATTTCTTATATAAACGCCATTAAAACACAAATTAATACAAAAAATGGACCACCCTAATTGTAATAGTATGATTTTCTCGAAAGAGCGCATTTCGAATACAATGGTTCTGATTATATAATATTCAAGCCGTAAAACTTCGGCTCAAATTCAGCACAAAATTTTCAAAAATAGGGTTACCCTACCGATTTTTTGGAGCCGCTAATCCTGAGAAAGAGTTATCGTAATGATAAGGTTCAACTAATCTAAGATGTTCGCATATTTCAAAGTACCGTATCTATTTTCTTAAACGCCATTTTAACAAAAATATATTTTAAAAATGGACCACCCTAGTAGGAAATAATATGATTTTCTCGAAAAACGCATTTCGCATACAATATGTCTAATTACATTTAAGACTTAAAATTTCGGCCAAAACTCAGCAAAAAAAAAAAAAAAAAATTCAAAAATAGGGTCACCCTACCGATTTTTGAGAGCCCCTCGTCCTGAAAAAGAGTTATCGTAACGAGAAAGTTTAATAAAACTAAGATATTCGCATATTTCGAAGAACCGTAATAATTTTCTTAGTTAACGGTAATAGCCTCCGCCACATAAAGGAAATTTCAAGAGTAATACCTCGTAATTACACATTACATAACAGTACAAAGGCACTGTAGCTAGACATTAATGAGAACACCAGGCGTCAAAGAATGCAACTTAGCGGTAGTAATAGAAGAAGAAGAAGAATAATAAGAAGAGGAAGAAAAATAACAGACACATACCGACACGCCATTACGACAATAACAAATTACGTAAAATAAAAGCAAACGACGATATAAAAGTAAGTAGCGCTGTTGTGCCTCGAGACACCCCGCAAATGAGGAACTCGAACGCATTTCGACACAACGCAACTTACACATACCACAGCAAAGAAAGTACGATGCAAGACGAAGCTAGTGTTTCGGCAAAAAGCATAAATTGTTGGTAGGAGCCCAATGGTGGATGGGAGTGCTTGTATGATCGAGCGTTGTATATGTTGTTGCTATATTTGAATCGCGGTTGCCTTTTGTTTTGCTTCTTTTTTTCTTTGGTGAACCATATAAATGGCGTTATTGTTGTTGTTGCCTGATCAGTGGTCAAACGCAACGGATCACTTTTACTTCCCTTCATACTTGTACTCATGTATCTGGTCAACAAGGCTTTTCGAGTCTCGAAACGATGTCGGACTACATACATACATATGTATGTACATATAAATTTGGAATTTTTGTGTTTTAGATTATCTAAGGAAGGCTATTTATTAATGTGGTGTGCTGATTAAATACGTATATTTATATGCATGTATGTATATGTGTTGGTGAAAATCGCCGTTTGTGCATTTTATGATTTATTTACAATGAGTTGGCTGTACGTGTGTTTGTTGGGTTTTCATTTATTGTTATTGTTGTTGTATTTTTTTCATTTGGATGGATGTTTTTGTATTGCCACTAGTGCCGCTAGTAGCTCTGTCTACTTGCAATTCAAAGCCTACACTCAAGCATTTCCGTTATTTTTCCTACTCGCGTCTTCGTCGTTTGCTTTATGCACACTCTTTGTTGCCTTTCACTGTGCTCCTCAATATTTTCAAAAACATTGGCAACAACAGTGTTTTTGTGATTGCTAGTGTTGACGCTTGTATGCATGGCTAATGTCGGTGGCACCGCTATGTGTGGTGAGCAACGCCGCTATTTATTTCAAAGCAGCCTACCCATTTTACCATCCTTTGGCTTGCCAATCATTGTTGAGTATTCATCTATATTTACAAAAACAAATAATGCACAAATAATGTTGTTAACAGGTAAAGCATATAGGATATTCAATACATACGTACGTACATACATATATATAATTATATATATATACTGAATATATCTTATATACATTTATATAAAGTAAAGGATTATATAATATTTTTTGGAATTGAACGAGCAGTTAAAAAGGGTCGCATAACCTGAGAAATATTACAACTTATAAGCGAAGCCATGATTTGGTTACCAGAAGGCCTGAAAATTCGATAATAACTTGAAAGAACACATTTCTTAAAACGCAGAACTTGCATTAGGTCGGCTACAAAAACTTGAACCTATCATGCGATTCGGTTTGTAAACAAAATGAAGAACAAAACAGCACTTTACTGAAAATGTTTGCTATGTTTACAAAGTCCAAGGTATTGAGCAAGTAATGATAATTTGAGTTGAAAATATCATCTCCTAAGCCTGGCCTACAAGTTAAAAAAGTTCACATTAAATCTGGGTGGTTCCAATTTCTAACCCTCTCGATCCTTAAGTGTTCTAACATTTATGTTGTTAGAGCCCAGAATCGCATCGAGCTCGATTGAGTCCTCATTTGAATTGAGAATATAATGGTCAACAGTTTTTATCATTTCAATTGATTCTTGGCTTTATAGTTCTTCAAGTATGATCTGAGGCTAATGATGAATAAATATTTCACCCGTATATGTGTATAACCGCCATGTGTTCCATCTAAGCTAAGAAACTGTATCTCATCGATAGACATGCTGGTAAAATAGTGTCAGAATACGATGGAGGTGAAGTTTAATTTGAACTGAAGTATTCGTCATGCAACCTTAAGAGCGACTTGATATCTAATTTTAATGCTAGATGCTGCTCGGCAGCTAGGCCGAGTTCTAGATAATGCTCGACAGAAGCGTTTCTCTCATATTTACGTATCTACACTTTACGCATATATGATCGTTACTTATGCCTATGCGGCTCGCATGTGTGCGATTAGATTGAGACCTGTCCTTAGACCAATAAACGCCGACATATGTAAGCAGAGTGCTAGGAAATGCTGGAAATAAGCATACGAGAAGTTGTCCCTGCGTATTTTTCATGCTTACTTCCTGCACTTTCTGCATGTATTTGGCTCGCATGTGATGTCAGTAGTTTGTAACCTGTCATTAGTTCAATAAAAGTCCTGCAGTCTTTCGAGACTGTGTGAGTAGAAAGCACAAAAGTTTTACTACGGGGTTTTTGCACATAATCGTAGCGAACCCGAATGTCTTTAAGGCATTCGATCTCGGGCGGATACGTCTGTAAATTTTATTGTATATTGTTTTTAGTGACTTCCGTATTTCCTGTTCTGGTTCGGTAAATTTTTTCCGCAATCTCATCCGCTATTTCATTTTCCGTAATTTTTTTGGTGGCTGAAACCCAGTATACAGTATATGCAGCAACTTTCAGGCAGCCACTACTTCTACTGTCTCCTTGCTTTTAAGAAGGTGCTCTGACGTAAGACCCTGTGAACTGATCTTAGATTAAATATTAACGGATTCATTGCATCTCATCATCATTTAGAGAGCCAAGGGAGTCATTTCTTTCGAACTTGTTGCTCAAGGAAAAGGAGTTTGTTAAAATGTTACTAAATATAAATCAATGTATGAAAGAAGGATTATGTAGTATATCATATACTTTTTGTGATCTGTTAATAATTTGTTTCTAATACAATTGTCGCACAAATTCGTATTGATCTAATAATATCCTATGATACTACTATGAGCAAAAAAAAATTGTTCATAATTGTAAATCTAGGTCGTCCCCTTCAAGTGATCACCCTTGGTCACAATACACTAATCCCAACGATTTTTCAAATCCTCGAAACAGTGTTTAAGTCAATTTCCAAAATAGTCTTCAATAAGCGCAGCGGTTCTTATTTAATGTCTTAAATTGACCCAAAAGTTTCCCGATGCGATCGTTTGAGTTTGCTGAATTTAAGTTTAAAAGTTTTACTCCTTTTTTGCCTACATCGGGTTTCCTGCTTTCAAATATGAAGAATTGAATCGTGTGTTTGAAGCTTGAGTCGATTTTGTAGGGCCTTTCAGAAATTAAAACTCAGTTTAGGGGAATTAAGGGAATACTTTCAAAAAGTATTGAAATGTATTAAAGCCGGGCGCGAACTGATTATTGATTTGGCGTAAAAGAGCTTTCCTGTCGATGAAACTCGATAAACTTTAAGTTAGGCTGGTTACATATTCAAATTCGCGCCTATATGTATACTTCTGTAGTAGTAACATTTCAATTTTTCCAAATTTAAATTGCGACTAAAACTATAAAACAAATAATAATACTTGAACATTTTCGAAGCATAATCTGTGTCACAATCTCATTAAAATGCTTTGCTCCACATTCTCACTTTTCTGGTATGCTCTCCACGTCGAGCCGACTCAATTACTTTTAACATAATATTACGCTTACGAATAGGATATAGACGTTTAACACAAACGCACACTCAAGTCTATATGCATATAGCTTAAACATTTATAGATAAATATGTAGAATGTAGAATAAAAAAAAAAAAATCGAGTTAATCCTTTAAAACAACTATGACGCCCACCTAAGTAGTAGAACTATTTAAATTTGCCTAAATAGCGGATTTTGTTATTAAATTTCGTCGCACAGATTGAGGGGCGGAACGCACCGGCCGACAGCCCCACACAGGTGAACTCTGCAGACAAATGAGTATGTGGGGCAGAGGAGGTAATATGAGTACGCAAGGCTGTCCACATATATATGAATATGCTGATATGAATATGCAGATGTTTGTATGTATTTATGAGAATTTCTTTACTGTTAGAGGTACGCGTGCAGCAGGTAATTTAAAATTTTCTAGCCGGGAATGGGTGGTTATTTGCTGTGTTGCTTGGGTACGACAAATTGGAGTTGTTGCTTGCTATATATATCAATAAATATACATGTATATGTGTTGTATATGAATACGTAGCATACGCATAGGCGCATGACCCCCGCACATATGCTAGGTTAGAGTGAAGATTGTAGTATAAATTTTTGATTAGACGTCTACGTTTGGCGGTGCGGAACATTTGCTGCTTGGTTTGGCATATAAAAGCTGCAATTTTCGGTTAGCTGAAAGTGGGCAGGTTAACATAGTTAGTGCCTACGGCAGTGCCTAGCGCGCTTAGCATCAAATATTCATACTTATAAGTATTTATGTTTATGTTTCAGTTAGTGATATGCTGGTGACTAGCCAACTAGCTACATATGTATATATATATATATAGATATATATATATAAGTACGAGTATGTTTGTTGCATAGGTTATAGAACGTCGCTGCTGTGGTGCGATTTGAAGCCAGTCTATGCCTACTAAATTCTCACAATTTTTGCTTATTACACATATGTGTGTTGTTTTTTGCATGTAGGTTTTGGAATTTTTTTTTTTTGCTTTTATTTGCTTTTTGGGTTTTATTCATAACAAAATATGGAAAGAAGCCGTTGCGCATATAAAAAATTTGCTTAACTGCATATTTTTTAGGTATTTACATATGTTTAAGTAGAGCAAATAAATTGGAAATGCACAAACTTAGTCGACTTTTAGGCGCACAACAACGTTCACTTACCTGACTTTGGACTGACCAAATCCTTCGCTTTGTTATTCATGCGCCGCGGACCGGTACCGCCAGATCCCATTGGCCCGGAATGGGGACCGGAACCGGGTGTACCGCAACCACTAACGCCGCCCGTTTGACCTGGAAGGCAGTGTATGTTAACAATTTGATGGCAGAAAGTAAAAATTAAAAATATTTTCACATGAAAATGTATAAAATGCAAAAAACTCAATACTATGCTCAATCGAAAATTTCTACGGAGGAAAAAAATTCACAACAAAATATTAAAAAAAAAATAAATAATAAAATTTATAAAAAATTAAAATAGTAAAAATATCGAAAATTTTACTCACCTGGCAATCTTGGTGGACGGGGCTGTTCAACCGGAAGCACTCTTCTCCGTTTCTTCGGCAGTTTGGCTCGTGCTTGCGTATGCGAGTAGTACATGGCAAAGTTGCTCACAATGACGGGTACGGGCAGTGCGATCGTTAGCACACCGGCAAGCGCACACAAGGCGCCCACAAACATGCCAATATAGGTCTTCGGCACCATATCACCATAACCGACGGTGGTCATCGTGACCAGTGCCCACCATAGACCCAACGGGATACTATTAAAATCATTATGCGGATTCGGTTGTATACGTTCCGCATAGTAAACTAGGCTTGCGAAAATCACAATGCCCAATACGAGGAAAAACACCAGCAGCGTGAGCTCTTTTGCCGATGCACGAAACGTTTGTATCAGAATTTTAAGGCCGGACGAATGACGCGTCAATTTAAATAGACGCATAATACGTATAATTGAGAAGAATTCTAAAATATCGGCGTTCTCTAAATGAGAGGCGAACCGTTGAAGCACAAGATCGATATAAAAACTAAGCGTTGCTATATAATCTATGATGTTAACAGATGACTTTATGAATTCACATTTATTTGGCGAGGATATGAATCTAACCTAAAAGAAATGGTGAAAGAGAGTAGTTTTTAGTTGTTGCTTTGCATTTTACATTGAAGGATTAGTGTAAAAGAATATAAATGAATATCATATATTAAATATGGATATGCTATACTCTGTGCTCTAGGTGCTAATACTCTATATATATTTTGAAACACTGAAAATTCTATGGCTAAGTTATTAAAGTAGTGCATTTTTGTCTTAATTCTCAACTCAAAAGCTTTAGACAGTCGTCGGAGAAGCTAAGCATCAAATTATCAATCATATCTAGGACGGCCAACAACATCGACTGATGATCAAGACGTCAAGAGATGCACTGGATCATTTCAAACCATTTGAGGGATCGTTAGGGCCTAAGATCAGTGAAAGCACGTTTTTTTCCAAAATCACTAACCTTTTTTCGAAGAACCTTAACGTCTGTGAAGCAATGCTTTTCGACTTCCAGGATGTCATAGAATGTATTATCTGACAATGAATCTTGGATCTATGCTTACGATCCGAAAACAGACGATCAATCGGACCAGACGACATTGATATATCCCTAACAAATGACCAGCAGAAACGCTATCCTTGGTTTGGATATTATGAGTCATTTTAACCTTATTTTAACTGCAGTGTATGGAATTGCTAGTCTATGAATTGAGGGTGAAGAACTGCACTAAAACCACAGGTTAGGTGTTCTACAAACACTCCAAACTCCAGACCAATGATTATAATTGCTTCGAAGGAAGTCTAAGGCGACACAAGAGGTTACTATATACGAGTACATACAGTTTAATACTTAAATGAAAACTTCTTGAACGTCTACTAAACAGTGTAGTAAACTTTAGCAGGGGTTTACAACAAAAAAAAGCTTATCAGGTAATGCCAGTGAATGACGAAGGCAACCAGTTTTATAATAAAAGCTCTTGCGATCGTATGACAGTTATAGACATATTTCTATGATGTTTACTCTCAATTAGAGAATTTTTTCTCTCTTTTGAAGCACACTCGGGAGTTTGAGACTACATGCGGAAGCTTATACGAAATGAACGCTGTACTCTTGCTACTCGAAAACTAACCTAAGGTGCACCTAAAAACACTAACCTACCATATTCCTAAATATTATATAACACACACAAAACCAACACCTACGCAGCAAAGTACTCACCAGTATTTCGAACGTGAACCAGGCATTACAAACACACTCGATATAAAAGAAAGCTATATGTGCATTTGTTTGTGGTTTATCGATATACCAAGCCATATTACCGCTGGATGTATTCACCGATGTATTAACGAGGTATGGCACACGCATATCGGGATGTGTTTTCAGGCAGAATGATAATATGGATACACAAATGAAGAATACCGAAACTACGCCGATTGTCTGTTTCAAACAAAGCAGAGACGAAGAGAAATATTAAAAAAATTTTACATGCAAGCAAGTGTAGTTATGTGCTTACCTTGGCCGCATTCGAACTGTATGGCTCGTCGAAGAGCGACCAGATGCGCGGCTTCATTTCTTGCCACCACGACAGTGTGCCCTTGTAGTAGTCCTCTTCGAAACCGAATTTGCGTGCCAATTCCTCTTCGGACGGTTTTTCTGTATCTAAATCCAGACGATCTAATACCGCTAATGTCTCTTGTGTGTCTCTGTGCTGTAAGTGAAAAAAGAAACAATATTAAGTGATATAATTATATTAAATATAATATATACAAGTTTGAAGGAGCAACTAATCTGCCACATAGTCTTTAGTGAGATCTAAGAATACTATAACTTTGATCAGTTTCCTTTTAACCATGTCTTTTATTAAAGACGTTTATTTGACGTTTTCGATATGTGGTGGAGTCTCTTCACTGATTAATGAATATTATGCAAAGAGGCCACCACCAAACCTGAAGGCTCTAGACTTTTTTTTTCCAATTATGTTAGTTAACCAATGGTCCTATGATTTTTTTGACTGTATAACTTACTTCGCGATCGACCACGTCACACTGTCGCGACGTTGTGGGAAATGGAGTTCAGACGAGTTGATAGGAAAACAATCACGGGATAGATTTGGTGGGTGGACTATCGACATGTGCTATGAATAACAAACCAACCTACTATAGGAACGTATTGCAGTAGATCTTTATGTTAATCTCGACTACCTACATATAAAATGTTAAGAGCAGTATGCGTAAAAATACCGAATCATCACCTTAAAATACCGCAGATTTGGTAAATTTTTTTGAGCCGTGTAAAAACGTTTGAATTGTAGCTTCAATACACCTAGCTGGCTCGCACAAATTTCCTTGCAAGTATAGCTTATCAGATTCTGAAATGGATCGAAGATCGGTACTGACACCATTCTCTATCATGTCTTATCACACCAATATGGTCGCCTGGACTACGACAGGATGCCACTTGATGTCTCGTATGGTACAACTACATATTGAGGCCCGTATGCTCCCAGTTAAGTAGCATAGTGAATTCTTCTCCAGGGAGTTTCTGCTAGGTTGCTTTCACAGAAATCACCCCTACAGTCGCCTGCTTGGAGCAGAACCCTCTCCTACGAACATCAAGAGGTCATTTCTTAATTACTTCAACGACATTAGACCGTACGCCGACCAGACTTCGGACGCAACAAACTTCGTACAATCACTGACCACCATTCACAGTGGAACCATCAACACCTTCACCGACTCCCTTCCAGTGAATGGCGTACTAGAAGACGAACAGGAACAACAACAAAGGTTCTCTTTATGTCTACCTTTGCTACTGCATGAATTAGTGAAGTCACTGAAAACTAAAAGCTACATATAAACAAGGTTATTCGCAGTCAAGCAGTTTGAAAACAAATATTAGGCTCCACAAATGCCACTTCGTTAAATAAAGACTGGGCCGTAACTGCTCCCTCACCACAATTTTTACTCGAGCTACCAACCTGCGTGTATGTCATCCAACAGCATGGCTCGACCTGATTCGAATCTAAGCCCCAGAACTCGAGCTCCTCCTCGAACAGTGGCCCACAAACGTCTGTAGGATAGTGCAGCTTGCCGGTTCTAAAAAAAAATCAATTGCATTAGCATAAAAATATTAGTCATTATGACTTATATGAATTTGGACTCACCTATAGTAATTAAGTACTTGAGCAAAGACTCCCGGATGCCGATCGAAGAAATACTCATTCAATATGGGATCATAGTTGGCTAACGCCTCGGTGAGGCGTGACAATCTGGTGGCGGGTATTTTCTTCAATGTAGCCTTATACGTTTCGTGCCGAATGCCGCCCACATTCAGCACGACCCGATTTTCCGAATCCATATTTATCAGATTCATAGCTGCATGCGAGTAGTGCATATTTTTAGGTATGAATTTCATTTGGGGGCTTTGATAGGTGCGTGTCTGTTGGTGCCTCATAAAAACCGTATATATTTACGTGTGTGCCTTGGTATGTATTTGTGTTTATGTGTGCGTGTGTGTCCGTGTGCGTGTGTGATCTTAAGTCGAAATATCTTAGAGTGTGGATCACTTTAACTACAGTTATTCTATAAGTATGCTATTAACGTTATATTGCTTGTGTTGTGTGTTGTTGTAATGTTGTATATGGAGATATGTGATTTGATTTTGGTTTTGTTTTTAATTCTTGTTGCTTCTATTGCAAACCTTTCAGTTGTTATTGTTGTACGCTCCCGTCGCGATATGCAGTTTCAATGTGCCGCCTGCGTGTGATAATAAAATATTGTTGCTGCATTTGTATGTTACCGCTAACAGTAGTAGTTCATCTTGTGGACATAGGCGCTGTAGCTGGTCACCAGCGTTTAACATATCATCTGCCAGAGAAGATTGGAAATTTTGGGGAAATATAAATCTTCGTATAGAGAACTTCGGTTAAATCCAAAACATAGTAAATTTAATGAAACGGTATTTTACTGTATTTTTTTCTCGAACATATTAGTCTAATCACACGGGAGCACCTTGAGCATATAACACACTTTTGACTGCGAGCGCTGGAAATATCTTGATACAACTTATAATCTTCGAAACAATATTTGAAATGAATAGTGAAACACTCGGGTATTCCCCGTGGAATGTAAGGAATCAAATTAGTATATATTTATATTCCAAAATTCTATCTATTCCAGCTGATAGTGCAGCCATACTGGTGTCCAGTGGAATCTTAACTAATAACTGTATTACAAAACAAGTAAGAAAGGGCTAAGTTCGGGTGTCACCAAACATTTTATACTCTCACATGACAAGCTTCATCAACATATCTCATTTTTTACTCAAGTTACAGCTTGCACAGACGGACAGACAGACATCCGGATTTCAACTCAACTCGTCACCCTGATGACTTTGGTATATATAACCCTATATCTGACTCTTTTAGTTTTAGGACTTACAAACAACCGTTATGTGAACAAAACTATAATAATCTCCTTAACAACTTTTTTGCGAGAGTATAATTAGAATTTGTAAGCACACAGCAGAGTTTCTAGATTATTATAAATTCTAAATGGGCTAGAAAGTTGAAAATGCGTTTTTTTATAGACAAACAAGAACTTATAACTTGCCTTTATATATTTCAGAATTTGGCAACCCTAGTGTAGCTACCGGTTAACTCACGACTTTAACGCAAATTTCGACATTTTTAATGGTATGCATACTCAGAACGTTTTGAGACACAAACGCTATTTGATTTGTTTAAAGTAACTTAAAATGTTCATCTAGGTCAAAAAATGGTAACGCGACTTTATTTTACAACTTTCGATTATCTCTGAAACATCTGCATTTTAGAGCACTTAAAAGATCGAGTTGATGAGTCGTTTCCCGTATAGTCCTGACTTGACACCGAATTACTTACTTTTATTCCCGTAAATAAACTAAGACCTCAATGTTTTCGACACCTGAAGAGGCGGTTGATCCCAAAATATTACATAAATGGCAACCCTCATACATAGTTGGTTTTGGGTAAAATTAAGTTTCAGATCGATAGCGGATATGATAAATAGTTAAAGTTAAATCTACGTATGGTACTAATTGCGATTCAGAATAGTTTTCCTGGTTGTCTAAGAAATGTGTTCAAAAGCATTGGTCAAAACAAAAAGGTCGAGATGATTCTTTAAATTCTAGTGTTAGTATTGATATCTCGTTTTTTATTGGTGTGTGCTTTATAGCATCAGAAAGATAATATTTGGTACTAAAACTCTCAAATAGTTTTGTTAGTGTTTCAAAGACACCAACAAAGAGAAAATGCGCATTACCAGGCATTTGAAGATGTGATTAGTCCTATGGATCCGCGAATTTAAGGATGAGCCATACTCTGTAAAATCAAGCCGAAAACCTATCAGCCTTGATTATTGAATGGATAGTACTCCAACATGGAAACGTGAGTCTTGATAAGAGCAGCGGTTGACCAGGAAGAAGGGAGAAGGTTTTTCTGACCATGAGAATTCAGTGCATATCCCCATAGCGTTTACATATATAATACARTCTATATTTACTCCTTCATGTAGTGTTCTTAAAATTTTAAGATTTCTTGGTCATTCTATAAAGTCTATGAGTAATAGCAAGTCGGAGGGATATTTAGCAAGATTTCCATGAATTTTTAATACAAACCAAAAAAAAAAAAAGTAAACAATTCAGATGACTATTCCAACTAGCGTTACTGACTAATTTTCCTTGAAAGGTGAGCATGTGAGGTTTTCTAGTGATTTTGCTGTCTTTGATGCGGCCAGACTACTCCGTATTAACAGTCAAATCTATTTTTATGGCCATCAAAGTGATTTTTAGAACAAATGAACTTTGTTTAGGCATATCTAGGTGCACAAAGACATGTTTGTTCGTATTTGTTTATGTATTTATATAAAGAGCTTCATGAGCAAGAAACGAAGTATATGTTTGTAGAATGTGATTAGACGCTAACGCAGTCAATTAATGCGCCACTATAAATATAAACAAATATAAATACAACTACTAACATTGTTATATATTTATAAACTAGGGCTCAATTACTTTTGTTCGTAATTAATACGATTGTTTACACAAGCTGGGTGAAAACAATTGTAATTAGGGAAAAAACATTTGTACTTTTGCGAAATTATTTCTATTGCTTCCTTACATTTATACACAGCGAAGCTTTATTATTATTTTCCATAGAGATTTAAGAAAAAAAGAAATCACGCGCGATTTTGTGTTCCAAACATTTCATTACTCAAGTCTAAATTTTATTGTATGCTTGGCATTGTTATACCGTGGAAAGGATATGTTAGTTTGTCAAGATGTCTGTTACATCCTAGAGGGGTACATATGTACATATACATTTATGTAAATGATCAGCTAAGAACTATAATTAATAAATAAATTAAAATAATAATAAATTATCTTCAGATATTGATCTGAAATTTTGCACACGTAATATTCTCGTCAAGACGAAACTGTTCGATCAAAGACCTGCTCTTGTATGGAAACTTTTTTTATTTGACAAGATATCTTCACCGAATTAAGCACATAATATTTCCAAGAACAAGGATACGATTTCCGAGCAAATTGTTGTGATCGAACCACTATAACATATAGCTGCCATACAAACTGGCCTATCTAAATCTAGTTCTTATATAGAAAACTTTTTTGTTTGACAAGATATCTTCACCGAATTAAGCACATAATATTTTCAAGAACAAGGCTACGATCTCCGAGCAAATTGTTGTGATCGAACCACTATGATATATAGCTGCCATACAAACTGGCCTATCTAAATCTAGTTCTAGAAAACTTTTTTGTTTGACAAGATATCTTCACGAAATTTGGCGTAATTAATAACCAAAGGCAATTCTATAATAACGAAACGAATCGTTGAGATCGAACCACTACAACATATAGCTGCCATACAAACTGGCCTATCTAAATCTAGTTCTTATATAGAAAACTTTTTTGTTTGAGAAGATATCTTCATGAAATTTGGCACAAGTAATTACCGAAGGCAATTCTATAATATCGAAACGAATCGTTGAGATCGAACCACTATAGCATATAGCTGCCATACAAACTGGCCATACTTAATCAAGTACTTATAAAGAAAACTTTTTTGTTTGAGAAGATATCTTCACGAAATTTGGCATAAGTAATTATCGAAGCCAATTCTATAGTATCGAAACGAATCGTTGAGATCGAACCACTATAGCATATAGCTGCCATACMAACTGGCCTATCTAAATCTAGTTCTTATATAGAAAACTTTTTTGTTTGAGAAGATATCTTCATGAAATTTGGCATAAGTAATTATCGAAGGCAATTCTATAATATCGAAACGAAACATTGAGATCGAACCACTATAGCATATAGCTGCCATACAAACTGGCCATTCTTAATCAAGTACTTATAAAGAAAACTTTTTTGTTTGAAAAGATATCTTTACGAAATTTAGTATAGAGTATTGTATAAGGCATCGCTATAATCTCCGAACAAATTGTTCAGATCGGGCGACTACAACAAATAGCTGTCATACAAATTGACCGATCAAATACATGTCAAATTTGTTCAAATTTGATTCCTTTTTATGCTTTAAGAAATGAAACTGTGAAGGGTATTCGGTGCTTCGGTGCAGCCGAAATCAAAATTTCTTACTTTTTGTTTTGCTTTTTGTTATTGTTGCTTATGGGAACCATAATTTTCGCTAATTTTCAATAAAACAACTTAATTTAAAATTTCAATTGCGATACGATTTTTTCACTTTTTGTTGAATTCAATTTTGTATTTGTGTGTGTGCTTGTATGCTTGTATGTGCTCGTGCTTATTTACATGTTTCGAAATAAATCAGCGCAAGTTATAGTTATGAGGCACGGATGTATGTATGTATGTATTTAGTGTTTAGAAATCACAACCACGCACGAATGACTAAAGCAATTACACGAATTTGTATTTTGGGAAACACTCTGCCTCATTTGGACGTCGCCGCCGTGTAGCATTAGCTGGCATATTACATGCATAGAAGCTTGAATGCACAGAGTACGAGTGAAAATCAACAAAAGTGCCAGCAAAATAAATAAACAAGAAAATCTGAAAAGTTAAACAAGTTAAATACACTGCGCGCGATTAATAGAAAAGCAACTTGCCGCCAGCGGCTAGGAGCAGCGCATGTGAGGCGGGCTGAGGACGGAAGTAGTGATGCAAATATTCCAACTGGCAGAAAAAATCATAAAATTTTATTTAGAAGGTGAGCACAAGCACTCAAAAATACAAACAAATACAAATTTACGCCCACACACATACAAATATATAGACACATATACGCACAAGCTCCGGCACAATGAGTGTCCACTCGATATGAATGGCTAAACAAGCATTTACAAGTACATCCGTATAAATGCGCTATAATATATACATATCTACACTCAAACATACATATGTACATATATGTAGTATGTCTGCATTTACATATGTATGTAAACGCCGCTAGGCACATCACTTGTACAAAGTTTACCCAAATAGCCAGAAAACGAAAATTCCAATTTATAAACAAAATAAACACGCTCGGATGCACACACTCACACATACATTTCTACATATGCGCATACTTATATATTGTTGCTGCATAAGAGCACGTCACCTGCGCCGAAATTTGCATAGGTATCGAATAAATGTAAATCTCATTTCGAATGCACGCGCCTGACATTACCTCATTGTGCGGCGAGTTGCCACCGGAAATGGTAGCAATTATTTGAAACCTTCAGAGAAGGAAACACTGAAGAGGCTTTCTCTTGTATTTGTGACTTTAGAGGTGTTTTGTGAATTGCTTTAAATAGACTTTCATTTTTCGAACAGTCGCGAC